AGTAATTAGTTAGTTAGGGGTAGTTTTGACAAATTATTCCTTTTCTAAGAAATTAAACTAGTTTAGTTTATTTATAATAAGCACTAATTTGTTTGTTTTACTGTTAATGTTTAATATTTTTCATTAAATTAATGTAAAATTAAATATGAATAATAAAACAAAAAGTGAGGTCACGATTCTTTTTCTACAATTTAAATTATCTTCAAGTTTTAATTTGCTTTAAGTTTTCAGTGAAATTAAAGATAAACACAGCTTAAACATTCCAAACTACCTATATTTTAAATAAAAATCCAAACAAATTGAAATTAGATACCTACCTATTTATTAAACAATTAATTGAATTCAATGTAATAGCAAAAATCCATTTCTACTTAAATCATGTTGCTAGGTCAAACTATTACTGCTTCTAAAAGCAATAATAATTATTGTACATTAAATTTTAATGTAATCTTTAGCTGATAAATAAATGAGATTCTAAAAAAGTGAGGTTAGGCCGCATTGATGTTGAATTAAATTGACCTAAATAGTGCTTTGAAGATAAAATGTTGTATGCCATTCGGCCAAGAAGTGCCTTTTTGTGCTTCGCTCAATTGTAGGCCTCCGCTACGCGTCGGCCTTCAAACCTTGAGCTTAGCACAAAAAGCCTTACTTCTAACCTAATGACATAAATAAATATTTTTTGAATTTAGTGGCCGGCAATTTGCTTCAGCCTATAGGCGGAAAATTTGTAAATCCGCCTCTGCTCGTGACCATATTTTTCCATGGGTGAGCAATTAAACCATTTTTTTCGAAAATTTCCTTGTCTGAATTTAATACAACTTGTCATGCGTTTAGTAATGGACAAGTGGCTTACTTAATTAAATGTAATTAAATTGAATTTAGTTAATCCAGAGGCGGCGCTTTAAAAATTAAATTTGGGTACACTACTGCTTTTTTATAAGTTTAATATTATTATCTTTATCTTGTTTAATATTATTATCTTTATCTTGTTTAATTTTCGAGAAAAAAATAAAATTCGTTTATTTGGTCGCACCCTGGAAAAATTATGGTAAGGAGCGAATAAACGAATTTAATTTTTTTCTTGAAAATTAAGCAAGATAGAGGAAAGGTGCAAAAGACGAATAAAACGATATAAACTTTCTTCTTATTTTTTTTCGTGTCCTATTGAATAGGTACTTTAAGTACCGTACTTAAGATTTCAGAGCACCCTGTAATTGTAAATTATTTAATTTTTATATATTTTTTTGACTGTCATAAATATAAATTTAAAAATATTCACAAAAGTAATTGTTGTTTAAACAAAATATTAAAATGGAAATTTAGATATACAGAATTTTATATTAAATATTCTAGATTGATAAATATATGTTATTTGTTCTGCATAAATTGAATATTTATTGAAAACATTATAATATATTTTAATTTTAAAAATGTAAATACATGTCATACATGCAGTGGTGGAACTTCCATACAGCAAGAGGGAGCAGTTTTTATTTACAAAAAAGTGTATTATTCTTTATGTTAAAAATTGTAAATTAATACACCTGATTTTGCGAATTCGAAAAAATAAAATTTCGCCTTAGATTTTCGCAAGAAATTTAATTTCTTGAATTCTAAAAATTTTTTCACCCTCTCGAATAAAAAACTTTTAAAATGTTTGGAAAATCTCATCCAGCATTACAAAGAATATATTTCTAAGAAGTTTTCCATTCAAATATTCAACCTGGTTCCAGTTTTAAAACACGAAACTTAAAAATTGTTGGAATTCTTAATTATGATAGTTATTTATGTCATAAGGCTGAAAAGTGAGCTCAAAGAATCGACACTTTTTAGTCGATTTATCTAAGGCACAATTTTATTTGTTAAACGGCACTAACAATAATTGTAATATTATTATAATAAGAATTATTGAAAGTATAAAGTGAGGTTAGATATTTCCAGCTGTCAGATAGTTATCGAATTTTTTACAGACTAGGATGAAAAAAAACTTAACCTGATTGGTCTAAATTAATTGTACAGCCTAGAAGATAATCAAATACTTTGGTAGTGATCATTGACAATAATAAAGCTTAAATTATAGAACGCTTGAAGATAAAATATGTTGCAATTGGTTCATGCTATAATAGTATTGTAAGGGCATTATTATTATTTTATTCCAGTTACTACCGCGACATCGAAAAGATCGTTTTAGAAATTAAATTTTTTTAAAAATTATTTGCCAACAACGATTGTTAAATACTATTTACTATTTACTAAATAGCGATTAAACAGTAGGGTGAGCCAAAAAAACTAACCTATCGGATTTATGGGTTAAAATGAACCTACATACCGAGAAAAAAATTTCCCTGCAAGGCAAAATTTTTTGCTCAATTTTAAAAGGTGTCGGTGAGCATTCTAAGTTTTCCATTGAAATAACACGTAAAAAAATCTTTTTTCATTAAAAAGACTATAACTTTTGAACCGCAGTTTTAGAGATTTTTTACACTTTTCAAAGCTTTCAAACATACGAATTTTTGAATTAAAAAAAATAATCCTGGTATAGATTCTTTGGGAAATTTTATGCTCTACAAGAATCCGCGACGTAAAAAATTTTATCTCAAACGGTTCAAAAGTTATGGTATTTTTAATGAAAAAAGATTTTTTTACGTGTTATTTCAATGGAAAACTTAGAATGCTCACCGACACCTTTTAAAATTGAGCAAAAAATTTTGCCTTGCAGGGAAATTTTTTGCTCGGTATGTAGGTTCATTTTAACCCATAAATCCGATAGGTTAGTTTTTTTGGCTCACCCTATTAAACAGTCTTGGTACTTTGTCTATAAAAGCCGAAGACGCCTCTAGATTAGATTTTAAATTTTATAATTTAAAAAAAAATCATATTTTTTATATTTATGTTGCTTATTTTAAAATTATGTTTTCAAATATATTATAAATTTTATACTTTTTGACGTTTTTCCGTATACTTTTTACCTTTAATAACGTTAATTTGTTGTTTTCTGTGTAAAGTACATTTTTGCATTTTTTAACTTTTTAACACAATAAACATGTATGTCATGTATGCTAGACTATTACTTTGTTATAATGACTAATGAGTAATAATGAGTACCTAATTATTTTTATGTTGGTGGTATTTTAACATTATTTACTTCTTAAAAATTGCAAAATATTGTTTTGTAATTTTTAATTAAGTAGTTTATTTTGTTCATTTTAATAGTGTTTTTATTAGTTTCTGTAATTTTTGTGTGCAGGTATATTACTTATAAATATTAAAAAATGTTTGATAACTTGAATATTTTAATGTCTAAAAATATACATTTTACATAAGACCAAGATTAAAGTGGTAATTGGTATAACCGTTAATAAAATGTATTTTATGCCTTTTTTATAAAAACTTATGTCGTCAACAATTAGTTAAAACTTACAAACTTAGAAATGAGGAGGTCCATTCCAAAACTCGGCTTATCCACTTTTTAATAAAAATGAGTTTGTGGTGTACATTTAACATGTATCCCCCTATACCCTGAAAAGTTCATAATATTCTAAAACTCACCTTATTCCATTTAAAATTTATTTACAAATTGACTATCTTTCCAAAACTTGCCTTATCTATTGGTTATATCATGCAGAACTCGGCAAACTTTATTGTTGTCAACATTCGATAAAGAAATACCTTGTTATGGCCTAGGCCGATAAAAAATTTTATGAGGCAAGTAATTAGTTTGATTTTTTCTCGCTAGGGGTATTGTTTTGACAAATTAATCCTTTTCCAAGAAATTAACGTACTAAACTTGTTTATAGTTATTTACGATATAAGTGGGATAAGAGCTTTATTAACGTACGCATGCGAAATTTGCCCAACGAGTGCGTAGCACGAGTTGGGCAATCGCAAAAGTACGTTAATAAAGCGTTATCACACGTATATTGTACAAATTTTTATCTACGCCTCTAAATGAAAAAATAAACGGTAATTATTTTTGTCTAAGACTTAATTTAGGGTTATTTTGACATTTTGACTTTTTTATTTGATTGGTTAAAAGCAGTGAAAAACGCGTGCGTTAATGAACTTCTTATCTCACTCAAAATGAGTGGGATAAGAAGTTCTTATCCCACTGGCGTAGATAAATTTGTTTATAATAAGCACTAATTTGTTTGTTTTACTGTTAATGTTTAATATTTTTCATTAAATTATTGTAAAATTAAATATGAATAATAAAACAAAAAGTGAGGTTAGGCAACCAAGAAAACGCACGATTCTTTTTCTACGATTTAAATTATAAGTTTTAATTTGCTTTAAGTTTTCAGTGAAATTAAATGTTAAACACAGCTTAAACATTCCAAACTACCTATTTTTTAAATAAAAATCCAAACAAATTAAAATTAAATACCTACCTATTTATTAAATAATTAATTGAATTCAATGTAATAGCAAAAATCCATTTCTACTTAAATCATGTTGCTAGGTATTGTCAAACTATTACTGCTTCTAAAAGCAATAATAATTATTGTACATTTAATGTAATCTTTAGCTAATAAATAAATGAGATTCTAAAAAAGTGAGGTGAGGCCGCTTTGAGGTTGAATTAAATTGACCTATATAAAGTGCTTTGAAGATAAAATGTTGTATGCCATTCGGCCAATAAGTGCCTTTTTGTGCTTCGCTCAATTGTAGGCCTCCGCTACGCGCCGGCCTTCAAACCTTGAGCGGCCTTCAAACCTTGAGCACATAAAGCCTTACTTCTTAACCTAATGACATAAATAACTATAAAATTATTTTAAATTCGAGCTATACCTTTTTAATCAAGGTATATAAATGTTTTACTTATGCCTATATATTTCGTTTAAATTATTGTGTTAGTCCGATATGCGTTAGTACTCACGTGTTTTGGACATTTTGCTCATAAACAACTAATATGGATAAGCCGAGTTTTGGAATGCACCTCCTCAAATACTTTACCTTTGGAAAAACCTGAATATTTTTTAATTTTATTTTTTATATTTTAGCATCCTGGTGGTGAAGAAGTATTGCTGGAACAAGCCGGAAAAGATGGCAGCGAAGCGTTTGAAGACGTCGGTCACTCAAACGACGCCAGAGAAATGATGGTGAAATACAAAATCGGCGAGATTGTTGAGTCTGAACGCAGACCTGTCAAAGACAGGCCCGTAGACTGGACAGCCTCGAAGAACGACGACTCATCACAAAGGTAAATAAACAAACAAAAAATGGTTTATGATGTTGGAAATAAAACAATTTAATCAACTGTATTTTTTTGGGTTTTCTAAAAAGTTGATTTATTTACATATTTACATATTACTCTTATTTGCAATAGTTTGAAAAAAAAATTTTGTTTCTGCCCCAGTGAGTTTTATTAAAAAAATGATAAAACATTTTTTTGTCTTAATTTTTACTAGGGTTTTTTTCGGAAAAATTGAGCGGACGGAAAAAAACCTTTTTTTTTTTTCGAAAAAAAAACCGGAAAAATTTTGAAATTTTCATAAAAATTTACTTTTTATTTTTTAAATTTTATTCAAAGGTTATTACAAAAAAAAGCAAAAGTTAATTTTTTTGAACATTTCCAATTTATTACCGTACACTGTAAAAAAAGTTGCCGATGCTGATTATAATCATTGATATTGATTATTCCTTTTATTTTAATTCAGTAAAAATATTGTACCCACACATTTTTTTTTATTGGGCTCCCTTTTGCAAAAATGAACTTTTAAGTATATTTTATTAAGTCAATTCAATGTTTAGACACCCTAATTTTGACGAGCACATGTAAAGTTTTGACAATTCGTTTATGAAATATTCATTTTTAAAAGGATACATGCAAAGATAATACACCCCATGGGGTGTATTATTATAGATTGGAAACTGCACTACCGCTAGCGGCAAAAGGCTGAAGTAAATTAACGCCATCTAGGTCTACAATACCCTTAGCAATGCCAAAAATTGAAGTAGATTTCTGTAAAATATATTGGCGCCATATTTGATTGTTGATGCTTAGTGGGGTGCCTTTATATATTGTATTTACTAGGTACTGTATTTTAAATAAAACAAGTATGAATATAAGATTTATTTATTGTTGTAATAATAAAATATAAAATAAAATACATACATCTATATGTACATATTAAATACGTAATCGGTATACATAAATATGTTTTTGTTTGGGGAGTGCAAACCTAAAAAATATTAGTATTAATTCTTCAATAATAAGAGAATATTGCAAAATTTGGTAATTTAGTCCAGGCTACTTATACATATAGGAATTTGTACAAGGCTTTTGAGTGTGGACTTTTGGCAAGTTCTAACCAACCGCGAAAAATCCATCTTGCCAACTCTTGGTTTTGAAACAACCATAAGTAGCCTGGGCTTGGCCTGGACTAAATTACCATTAAACAAGCAATCCTAAATAATCCATAATTAACAAACAGTATTTTTACGCTAGAGCGATACTGCCGTGCTTAGCCAAAAAGACGCAACTCCACATTTTTACTTTATAAATTATAGCGCTTTATTTTTTTTTCATAAGATACGTTCAATTTAATTAGACATGTTTTGGAGATATAGTACCTACTTAAAAATGTATGTATAGTTAAAATGCGTCTTTTTTGCTAAGAGAATACTTTAATATAGAGATGAACAAATTGGTTACATTTCCGCACCCAACAACAATACATTTCACAACCATTAACACGTTTTATCACTTTTAAGGCGCAAAAATGTATTTAATAATTCAAAAATTATGATCAACATCAATAATTATGATTGACATTGACATTTGCAAATAGCGTTGGTACAGATGTCTGCAATTTACAAATAGATATAGTTCAGGTATTGTAGCTCTAGAGGGCAGTGGTGGGAGAGTTTCCAATCTATAGATACACCCCATATATGGGGTGTATTATCTTTGGATACATGCTCAAAACTTCAATTGTTTGTGAAATTTTTCACAAATTTTATGGTGCCTTATTTGAAACCATAGCGAATCCAGAACTAAAAAAAACAAACAAAAACAACTTCAGTTTTAAAGTGACCCATTTGAGAAATTTTGACCCCATTCTATTAATTAAGACAAATGATATTCAACTGATACATTATGACAATAAGAATAATTACTTATTATCTATTTTATAACAATAATTATTGTTATTATTGCCAAAGCTAAATTTATCCTACATTTCTCTTTTCTAGAATATATTAATGTTTTAGTAAATAATAAGTCATTAACATTAAATATATAATTTATTTGTATTGTGTTGATTGTAAGTTTATTGTAAACTTATAATAAATTATTGGCGGTAGCTTTTTATGTCACAAATTTTTCTATTTTTATTAGTTCATTATAAAATATTTTGTTAACAAGGCGTTGAACTTTATAACTTGTCCCAGTCGCTAAGTTGTATATTTTTAAATGTTTGCTTTTCCATTAATTTGTTATTAAAATGTTACATTTAAAATATGAATAAAAAAGTGCATTTAAATTGTTTGAGTGATAAAATTTAAAAAAAACAATTTAATACAAAAATTTAAATTGAATTTTGGCGTATTGTATTTGACGGTAAATAAGTAACATTGAACATTGAATTTATTAGGCAATATAAAGTTATTTGAATTTAAAAAAATATCTTCAATGTCGCCTGAACTTGACCTTTCAACATTGATATTACGCAATACCTACATAATATGTATACATTTTTAATAGATTTAATTAATGTATGTAGTATACTATTTACTAAAATTGTTCGTTAGTATTTTATAGTTAACATAAAAATAAATATACTTAAACAGGACAACTAAAATAAATTATTAAAAAATGATTTATTTAGGCATTGAATCGAAAATCACAATAAATTTTTCCGTAAGTCACAGGTTAAATTAACATTAAATGTTAATTCCTTAAAATTTTATTTAACACAATTTAAATCAACAATCAGTGCTGGATTAACTAGCAATAAATACATTTTTTAAACTAACTAATTTTATTTACATAAATAGAAATAATATATGATATATATTTTTCTTAAAGATAAATAAACTATTATATGTACTTATATAACTTATTATATTATAGTTTTTTTAATTTTAAGTTGATTGTAAATTAAATAGCAATTGTCAACTATATAAATATTAAGATTATAGTATAGTCTCCGAGTTGTGCACACTCAATTTTTAACTTAACCATAAAAACTCGTTTAATTTAATCTTTTTGGTAAATGAAACACGGCCATTGGAAAGAAAAGATTACGTCACGAGAAAGTACCAGGAGTCTATAATGCACGATTTTTCAACAATGTATTAAATTTTGTACTATGCATTGCTTATTAAGAATGTCCTTAAGTAATATTTGTAAGTACCATTTTTTCATTAAAATTACAAAACAAAATAATTTGAACAAAAATTAACATCAAAAATACAATTTATTAAGATATAAAATTCCGGACATAAAAAAATCTTTCTCAATGACTAAATAGTGACTAAAAATGTGGCCATTAAATATCTGTACCCCAAACTGTATTTAGGTTGGGCCAAAAATAAGCTTTTTTGTAACTCTATACCACGAAAAACTTACCTCTAGGCCCTAGATAAAAGTTTTTTTGACTGTAGCAGTTTAAAATCTTTCGCATACAAGTCTATAAACAAATACACCAGTTTTTTTTAATTTTAAATTTTTAAGTTGGAATTAAAAATGTTTGTACTAATGCATTTTACTTTGCTCCCCTAGAGTCTAAAACTGGTGTATTTGTTTATAGACTTATACGAGAAAGATTTTAAACTGCTACAGTCAAAAAAACTTTTATATAAGAGTTCAAAAACACAAACAAACACAATACAATACACTAAGCAAACAGTTTTGGACTCGTAATTCACACGTCGATTATGAATTCATATTATAGTCTCGTGTGATTTAATCGATTTTATTTTAAAATACATAGATTGCATGATTAAAAACTGCACTTTTTATATCTAAATATGTAATCCTGAGTCTGCTGAAACATAACATTTGAAATAAATATAATCAATTTAGTTTTGTTTAAAAATTACGTATTAGAGAAAAATTACTTTCTAAAAAAAATATTATATATTTATAATGAATACGGGGTGTCCGGAAATTGAGATGATTGTAATAAAAAAATTATTGCCAAAAGATCCTATAACGTATGTTATATAAAAATATTTTTTAGAAAACTCACGAATAACAAAGGCCTTCATAGTATTATGCAGGTTTGGCAATAATTTCTCAAGTAGAATCCGCCCCTTTTTGCGCACAATTTCCGGACACCCTTTATATTACCAAATTAATATTTTATTAAAATAGATATTTATTTTCATTAAAAAAAAATTAAATCTTGTTATTGATTAATAAATAATTAATTTTTGTTATTAAGTAAAAAATTATTTGTGTTATTACATTATCAAGATAAATAGATCTATACTATCTTAATATAAATAGATCTATAATATCGATCTTCTAAGATATCGATATTAATAGCTATTAATTAATACAAATTACACTTAATTATAAAAAAAACATATATTTATTTAATATTTTATGTTATTTTAATAAATTATAATTGCGCATATGTGCATGTAACACCCTCCCTTTCCCCATGTCAAAAAATGACATTTTTAATCACAATCTTTACTTTAAATGTTTTAAAATAAACAAATTAATTATTATTACATGTATATGTAAAATATGTAAAAAGTTCACGCGTGATGGCAAATTGAGGATCAATTGTGGACTCATCTGTCGCGTTATATGAATTCAGGCGTTAATTTAATTTTCACGCGTGAATTCATTATGCTATCTGGGCACTTAATCATGTTTACCATTAAAAAGAAAAAATATGTAACATGATTTTTAAAAAGTGGACTTAATACAGTTTGGCTTAGATATTAGTCATATATTAGATTTTATTTGGCTTTACGTAAGTAATATAACTTAAATTAAAAAAAATACATAATTTTGACATTTTGTAATACATGTGCAATTTTAAAGAACTAAATTTAGTTCTTCTTTACTAAAGTCAACTGCTACCAGGCTTAAAGATTTAAGAAATTTCAAATTTCAGACATACGTTATCATATCCCAGATAGCAAAATGAATTCACTATGAATTCACTACGAATTCACGCGTGAAAATTAAATTCACGCGTGAATTCATATAACGCGACAGATGAGTCCTCAATTGATGCTCAATTTGCCATCACGCGTGAACTTTTTATTTTTTGCGCATGCGCTTTTAGAATATGGATTTTATTTTTCAAACTAATTTAATCTGTCGAAATATTTATTTTAACATCTTAAAAAAATACACAAAAACTTGGTTTAAAAGGCCATAATTGAGAAGCAATCAGACTAAACCAGATAAATCCATTTCGACTTTTTGAATGGTTCCTATTTCTTTTGTTCAGATAAATCCATTGGAAATATCTATTTCAAGCTAAACTTGTTATCATAATATGATATGATCATAATATTAATATTAATATTATATAATAATTATTATATACTAATATTAATATTAGTATATAATATATATATATTATTATAATAATTATTAAGTTTATCTTGAAATTCACTTTTCCAATTGATTTATCCGACTAAAAGAAATATGAATCATTCAAGAAGTCAAAATGGATTTATCTGGTTTTGGTTGATTGCTCCTCAATTATAGGTTATACATTACAATTATAACCTTAAGGTTAACTAATTAATTAATTAATATATAATATACATATATTAATTATTAATGTACCTATAACATATAATTGTGACCTTTTAAACCAATATATATTATGTAATTATATATATTACTATAATATATATAATTATAATAATATATTATAATATATAATTATATAATATAACTACTTATAACTTAATATATTATTATATAATTGCGCAATGGAGCTGTGCGAATTTTAAAAATGTAACTAAAATAATAATTCCAAAATTCGCGCGTCAGGTAATATTTTGATATTAGAATATTAATATTCTATTTATATTTAAACGTGCAGTTTTTAATCATGCAATCCATGTATTTTAAAATAAAATCGATTAAATCACACGAGACTATACTTAATATGAATTCATAATCTACTCACGTGTGAAATACGAGTTCAAGACTTCACGTGTGAAATCATATAGCACACATTATTCACTCACGCGTGATTTCGTATTCACGTTTGCTATCTGGGATGTTTAAAAATTTAGTCAATGACTAACTAATAAATGATAAAAGTATCATTTTATTACCAAATGAGAGACAGATCGTTTGAACGATAAAGCCTATCCAATATAGAAACTGATCGTTTTATCACCAAACGATCCATCTTGACCACTTAAGGTATTTTTAAGTATTTAACTTAAGACGTCAAAAAATTGACTTGGACCCTTTTAATTATTCTAATAATCCCAAGTTTTAAGTTTATTATTACTGTACTATACTGTTAATTTTATTTAATTTACACTATACGAGTTTATGTATAATCGTTAAGTGAATCAAACGTTATAAGTATAAAACATGTTTTGAATTTTTGTAATGTTTTAGCTCCTTTAAGACGTGGATCGTTCCAGTTTCCTTGGGAATTTTGGCAACTCTTTTATATCGTTTTATCTTCCAAGCACAGCCCTAAACTAACAATCCAACATAAACTAAATAATACTAAATAAATATTTAAATATATGCATTTACGGTTGTAGGGACTATAGGTAGTGTTTGATGTATTTTGTCAACATCCACCTACCCTCACTGGGTAGTTTTTAATTATTTCTTACATTACTTGCTACTGTATTAAATTAAAATTTTACTTCATATGCTTTTAACAATTGTTATATGAAATTTTTATTAAATTTGTTGTAATTTATTTTTTGTTTTACTGATGATGACCCATTGGCCGTACTACTATGAATATAAAACAGTATAATATGATCAAAAAAAACATTCTCTTTTCTATTCACTTAACTTTTTGTATTTCTATACATTAAAAAAGCTAATTTTGCAATTTTTTAAGCTTTTTTGTTAATATAGAGTGTGACCCATTTGTTTGCGACTCACCGGATTTGTTTTAAAGTGTAAATCTAACTATTTTTGAAGCAAAAAATACCATAATTTTACAAAATAAAACTATGTCAGTTTTTAAGAATTCATATAAGCGATAAAAAAAATCTATGCATGGCACTGGATTCTCCAGAGGGGTTCAAAAGGACCCTATACTAAATTTTATTGAAAAATTGAATTATTCAGGGTTTATAGCGACCGGGATATCCGGGAAAAGTCAGGGAATATAAAATGAGTCTAAAAAGTCATGGAAAAGTCAGGGAATTTAAAGAAAAAACGAAAAGTCAGGGAATTATCTGTAAATAATACTAATACTTAAAATAATAATACGGAATTCAAGGTTCTGGAAAACAAAAATTGAAAGAAAATGTTTAAAATAGTTATTTGACTTATTTTTGTATTTTTGTTTTGTTTTCATGTACGAGAAATATGCTCTGTTTTGTTATAACTATTAAGTTAAATTTTAACAGATCTAAAAAAGTTTTGTTTTTGAATTACTTATGTAACCTGGACTACGGAAAGCTACCTATGGTTATAAATCAAGTTTTCGAGAAAACAACTGTTAAAGATAACAAGTACTGTCCGTGCGTCGCGTTTGTATTTGCGCTTCTACCTTTTCTTTTTTCGCCTTACCCTTGGCTCTCCACCTCTCTTTAGACTTCCATTATACAGTGGTGCTTTTAAAATAAATATTTTTGTACCTTATTCAAGTGATTTCCCCTAAATAGCTAATTTTGTGAACGTTAAAAAAGTTGGAATAATATGTGCTGCTTTTCTTATCATTGTATTTTCGAGATCGTGGTTTTTCGTTGTTATGCAGCTAGGTAATTTAAAGTTGTTTTAGTTTGTGAAAGTGCATAATGGAAAAAGAATTTAAAGCAGTGGAGAAACAATGTTTTGCGGATTGTGATGAATATTACGAAGATCAAGGTGGAGGTGCAGGTGTTGATGACATAGAAGATGACGTTGTACCAGATTCGTCTTTCGATATGTCTCTTCAGGATATTGACGAAAATAAAAGATAAAAAAAAGCAATTCTTGATATATTTATAACTTTTTATAATTCATGTTGAACTTTAAGGATGATTTCCAGCAAAAGTTTCAAACTTAGGAGTCTGCGGTATGTTCTATTAAAAAATACGTTAAATTTTTTATAAATTTAGATCAAAAAACAAAAATTGATTCTTCCGACCATAGGTACCTTTCTATAGTCCAGGTCACATATAATATGAATTATGCTATATGTATTTATTTTTGTTTTTATGGTCTGTTATTAAAGCTGCAAAGTAAAAATTCTATTTTTTATTTTTTTCTCATTTGCCTGAATATCAATATCAATTTATGTCACCTTCCACAGTCTGGAAAAAGCTTGAGAAAGTTCTGGAAAACCTGGAAAAGTCAGGGAATTTTATACGAATTCAATAGTATGAACCATAATATTGTGCATTATTAATTTAGCTACAAAATCTTATCTATCTCAAATTTTTCAATAAAATTTAGTTTAGGGTCGTTTTGAGGGGTGGTGAATCCAGTGCTGTGCTTACATTTTATTTAAAAAAATGGCTAATATGAATTCTTAAAAATTTACTCTTAAAAACTGACATAGTAGACCTTGTATGCTCCAAAAATACAGTTTTTCAAGATATACTCTTTAGAACAAATCCGGTTAAAATCGTAAATAAAGATTTTACAGGGGTGAGTCGCAAAGAAATGGGTCACACTGTATATATTTATATATATATACAGTGTGTCTACTTAAGTTGGCAACAATGGGAAACTTTCTTATTTTACAAAGAAAAGTTATTCTTTATAAAAAGTTCTATAATCTAAAATAAAATCATCATGATGATTTTATATTAGATTAAAAAAAAATTGATATCTGCAGATATCAAATTTTTTTAGTCATATACGAGAGTACAAGAGTAAAGTAGGGGAGACCTGGGCGGAATGGGGACTCTAACGTTTAAACATTATTTTTAGTAGGGTAGAGACGTGGTACAAATTCAAAAAAAGCAGAACGATTTATTAAAGTATTATAAACAAAATACACAAAAAACATTAACATAAATGCTTAACAATTTTTTTTTAATTATCGTATTAAAAAAAAGTGTCCTTTACTCCATTCCGCCTCGCCTACGGGGCAGAATGGGGTTATCGGGCTTAGACAAGTTCTGCATCGTCGTCCTCGCTCTCTATCCTCGCACACGAATTGAGAGCCCACTTTTGGCACTGTGCATAAAATCCATCCCTCAAATGAAGCTGAAAATGGGTATATATGTTACGGCTAATGTGAAAACTTGGATAATTTATAAACTAGCTGGATAGTTTATAAACTAGCCAAACTGTCAGCTATTTTAATTGAAAACATATATTCAACTAAATTAGCGGCTAGTTTACAAAATAACCAAGGATCTTGGCTAATTTACTTGAAATTATTAGGGAAACTAAAATAGCTGGATAGTTTGTATACAGTATACTATCCAATTCAGTTTGGCTAATATGAAAACCAAAATTTCTAGTAACACAAAATAGCCAAGCTTTAGCTAGTTTGTAAACTAACCAACCAATTCTCTGGCTAATTTATTAAAAAAGTGAGGTTACGGCATTGTTTTTCGTTTTGCCGGCTTAACCGGATTTGTTTTGTGCATTTTAACGTTTTTAAAATGAATCATAGGCAAAATTTTAACGCTTCCTTGTTAGAAAACTCAACAACACAACCCTACCGACCCCGCCCCATTGCCCCCCCCCCGCCTCATTGGTCAAATGGTCAAAAATGAGAGAAAAAACCCAAACCAACCCAAACTCAAAAACACAACCCAACCGACCCCGCCCCATTTGCCCCCCCGCCCCATTGAGCAAAAAACCCAACTAAAATATGAGCAAACCCAACAACAATTGGCAAAAATTGCGAAAATATGCAAAAAAAAATTGTAAAAAGTTGGTTAGTTTACAAACTAGCTAAAGCTTGGCTTTTTTGTGTTACTAGAAATTTTGGTTTTCATATTAGCCAAACTGAATTGGATAGTATACAAACTATCCAGCTATTTTAGTTTCCCTAATAATTTCAAGTAAATTAGCCAAGATCCTTGGTTATTTTGTAAAATAGCCGCTAATTTAGTTGAAAATATGTTTTCAATTAAAATAGCTGACAATTTGGCTAGTTTATAAACTATCCAGCTAGTTTATATACTATCCAAGTTTGCACATTAGCCGTAACATATATATCAAAAAGTTATAAAACTAAACACAATTTCACCACGTTTAGTCTAAAACACACTAAAACATTTATACAACTGACGTGTTGGCCTTATAGTAAATGATAACAAAGGACGATGGTACCACAATCCATGTGTGGATTGTGGAACAGACCTTGTTGTGTGGATTGTGGATGGTACTATCGATCGTCTGCAGCGGGAAATTTAAATAAAACTCCGTTCTGCCCCGGTACCCCGTTCTACCCCGGTCTCCCCTTCCTTTATTTGTGACAATATCTAAAAACTGTAATTATGAAAAGTTGTTCGGAATAAAAAACATGTTTTAATATGCAATAACATCCTTCTACTAAAAAAAATGTTTAAAATTTTTTCTCAAATTACCGATACCGAACATTTATCTTTTTTATTTATTACAAACATGATAACCTTTCTTTTCCGTTTAGAAAGTACCTAATAAGTAAATTCTGACGTTTGTCAGTGCATCCTAGATTACATGTAACTACAATTACATTTGCAGAAAAAATGATTTTTTCCATGTAAATGTAAACTTTCTTTATTAAGAATTATCGGGGGTAATTACACAAGTGCTTAAAAATTATCGATAAGTTTGCTTGAAAGCATATTGCCTAAAAAATGCATGAGTTCATTTTCATATTTTGGAAAGAGCCCGACACCGAAGGTGGAGGGCTCTTTCCTTAAAATATGAAAATGACCGAATGCATTTGTTAAAAGGCAATATGCTTGAATGCAAAATTATCTGATTATTTTTATGCCCGAGTGTAATTTGTTTAGATAATTACACGAATAAACTAATTAAATCAAAGAATAAGATTTTCAAATATTTTTATTTCAACAGAAAACTTCATTTAATAATTAAAATGTAAACTAAAAAAATTAATAATTATGAAAAACGTGAAATTTTAAATAACTGTCACATTAAAATATAAGAGGATAATTATCGATATTGTCAAATATAAAGATACTTTACTCTTGAGTAAGATTAATATTTTTTGACAAAACGCGTATATTACTGAATTTTTTTTATGTCTGATGATTGTATTTTAGCTTTTATAACATGCCGAATTTTTATCAAGGAGAACTTTTTTTCTTAAAATTAATAATAAAAAAGTTTCCCATATGTTGCCAACTTACACTGTATATATACCACAGACCTGTGATGTATACATATATTTATTAGGGTGATTCAAAAAAAACCTTTTTTGTTTTTTTCTCGGAACCGCGCTTAAAACTTTCATATAGATATAAAAATGAGCCTGTAAAGATATGAGCTCTTAATTTCAAAATTAAGATGCTCCGCATCGCACTTTTCGATTTTCCATAAGAATAACATAGGAAAAATTATTTTTATTTCTTCTGATTTTTATAACTAACGAACGATAGGTCGTACTTTAAAGTTCTTGAAATATTTTCGTAGAGAATTGAACGCTCAACAAAAAAGGTTTCCTATGATTTTTTGATAAATTTGATACTTCTAAAGTAATTTAAGGTCAAAGTTCAAATTATACGAAATTTTTGAGTTTTTTAACTTTTTTGGCGAGTCTACCCGACTCATTTAAAATTTTTTGAAATATTTTTTTAGAGAATTGAACGCTCTACAAAAATGTCACGAGTCATTTTTCGGTAAGTTAACTTGGCTTAAAGTTATTCAAGGTTAAAGTGAAATTAAACGTCAATTTAGCCGTTTTCTCAAAAAAACTCATTTTTGAGCTAAAAACGAATTAAAATATTATTTTTGAGCTCTGGAAATTTGAAAAAACATAACTATCGATATTACGATCTCGAGAAGCTCCAAAATTTTATGGTAGAAATATTTTTAAACGATTTCACCTAAAAGTAGCAGAAAGTTCCATAAATAGCTTGCAGAGTTATTATTTTTTCTATTTTTTTTTTAATTTTTGGCTAACTGATATCGATACTTATGTTTTTTCGAATTTCCAGAGCTTAAAAACAATATTTCGATTCGTTTTTAGCCCTTTGAACTAAAAAATCTAGGAGTTTTTTCGAGAAAAAGGCTAAATTGACGGTTAATCTCACTTCAACCTTGAATAACTTTTAACCAAGTTAACTTACCGAAAAATGGCTTAAGACTTTTTTGTAGAGCGTTTAATTATCTACAAAATCATTCCAATTTTTTCGGTCGGGTAGACTCGCCAAAAAGGTTAAAAAACCCAAAAAGTTCGTATCATTTGAACTTTGACCTTAAATTACTTTAGAAGTTTCAAATATATCAAAAAATCATAAGAAACCTTTTTTGTAGAGCGTTCAATTCTCTACAAAAATATGTCAAGAACTTTACAATATGACCTATCGTTCGTTAGTTACAAAAATCAGAAGAAACAAAAATAATTTTATTATTCTTATGGAAAATCGGAAAGTGCGATGCGGAGCATCTTAATTGAAATTAAGAGCTCATCTCTTCACATGATTATTTTTATATCTATACGAAACTTTTGAGCGTGGTTGCGAGAAAAAAAAACAAAAGAAAGTCAAGAGGTAAATTTGGGTTTCAAAAATACAATTTTTTTTATCTTGTTTGTTTTGACCTTTTATTTTTAAAAAGACAAAAAAGCCCTGTTGGTATACCATTTTTATAAAAATTTTGCATACATCCTAGAAAAGATGCTTAAATAAAAATAAAACACAAAGTGTATAATAATAATCAGCTTTATTTTCTAATAAACAAGCTTAGATAACCTTATGTTAATTAACAAAATAACGGTAACTCAAAACGATGTAGAATACATCAGGTAATCATAAAAGGAGTTTGATAAAGTGGCAGAATTTACTGGTGTAGATAAAAATTATTTAAAGCATATTGTTGACAGTAAATTCTGCGACTTTCCAAAATAAGTACAACTATCATTTTCTTAAACTTTTGAATGAAACAAAAAACATAACTTTAAGCTAACTCTGTTACTCAAATAAATATAAAAAATGTATATTATTTTATAATTTATACACGAAATGATTAATAGTCTTTTCAAAACTCAAAGGAACGACAATTTGTACACATAATTGGTTGCACTGGTAACTTACGTACAAAATTGGCAGTCATAATATACGACAATACGATAATTATATGGACATCGAAATAAATAAATTATTAATATATACATTTGTGTTTATTTATATTTCAATTTTGTATATTTTACAGGTGCCATTCATAATGGCCGAGTATGTCCATATAATTTGTCATATTTTACTATAGATACATTTATGTACTTCATATATTATCTAATGTAAATATATATGTATATAAGATATTTTGTCGTAGATAAAAGGCAACTGTACGGATCCAGTACTTTCTTGATCCTTAATATTATTTAGGTATAATAAAATTCTAAGATTACTTCTATTGACCACTACTTAAAAGACAAGTGTGATGTAAAAAGGTAGTGTAGTATTTTCATTACAATAGTGAACGTTAAGCAGATAAAGTAAAAAACGTACAGTTTCCGATGTCTACAACAATTAGAAGGCAACTTACTCAGACTTATGTTGCGGCTTTCCGCATACAATTTAGTGCTTTTAAGTAATATTTGACAAGCATTACAGGTACTGATCTAACATGGTATCGTATGATTAATAATATACTGATAAAACAACTTATCAACTATTGTGGTAAAACTCTAGATAATATAAGTAATGGGCAGTATAAAAATCAATAAATTGGCAGTAGGTGTACAATCACAACACTATCAGACCCTTTTTGGCAGTAAAAGTTGCAAGGTTTTGTAAAAAGGTCAGTCTTAAAAAATAGCTAAGTGGTAAAATACCTACGTAAATAGAATACGTAAAAGTTTAAATAAATTTATGTAGAAAATAGAAAAATGAGTAAGGTATAGGTAAGTAAAGTCATTGAAATAAAGTAAAGGTACAAGAGAATAGATTTTAGTTACTTTAATAGAATATATAGGATAGACTAAGGCAAATTGTAAGAAATTTATATATTAATTTAAATGTTTTACGTTTAAAATGGAAAAATAGTTTAAGTTTTTAATATACTGAATTCTTTGATTTTAGTTAAAAGTTTTACTTACTTTTTCTCTTTCATTTGACATTTTTAATGATTAAAACTAAAATATTTATAAATCGTCAACTTTTAACTTTTACGTCTTTAAAAAGAAAAAATATGACTTTCATGGAAGATCAAAAGTAAGTAATCCATATTAAAAGTAAAAAAAGAGTACTTATAAAGTTAAGCTAGGTAGAAGAAAAGATTTTCAACATTTTAAAGAATTTTTAGAGTTAGAGTTAAAAGTTTCAGTTTTCCTCTTTCATTTAATTTTTAATATGAGAAAACGTAAGTAATAAAAAAGTTTAAAAAATATATATTAAAACTTGATGTATTTCTTGATTATTATGGTTTTTATGAAAGTAAAATCTTTTTATTCTGGATAAAATTAAAAAAAGTTAAGGTAGGTAGGAAAATTATAATTTTTTACCATTTTTTGGTATTGGTTCCTATAAGTAAACATTTACTCACTTTTGCTCTTATATATAAAAATTACAATTAAAAAGAAATTCATTAAATACATATGTATGTATTAAACTGCATGAATGAAAGAGCAAAAATGAGAGAAATTTTAAACTCATTTCATGGATAAAAGCCATAGTGATTTTAAAAGAATAGGATTTAAATAAGGTTTACGTTTAAAAATGTATTTTTTAACTTAGATTTCAGTTTAAAGTTCCACTAACTTTTGCACTTTCATTTGAGATTGTTAATAATTTAAACTTAAATAATTAGAAGTCATCAAGTATTATTTTACCTATTTGAAAAGAAAAAAAATATGTTTATGACTTTTATAGAAGATCGAAAGTGAACTTTAGTGGATAAAAACCATATTAAAAGTATAAAAAGAGTAAAAAGTTGAGCTAGATAGAAGAAAATATATTTATCATTGTAGAAAGTTTAGAGTTTAGAAGTATCACTTTTGGTCTTTCATTTAATTTTTTTATTAGAAAACATTAATAAAAAATCATCAAGTTACTTATTTAAAAAGAAAAAAATATTAAAACTTGATTATTTTAGTTTTTTTCAGTTTTTATGAAGGTGAGTAAAACTTTTAACTCTAGATGAAATAAAAAAAAGTTGAGCTAGGTAGAAAAATTATAGGCATTGCAACTTCTCAAGTTTACTCACTTTCACTTTTTTATGTAAAATTTTTAATGAGCAAAACTATAAAAAAGAAATACTTGATGCACTTTTTTATGGTTTAATTAAATTAATATGTATTAAACAGCATAAAAAGCAGAAAATAAGCGAAAACTCTCAGTCCCATTATTTCTCAGATTTCTCAGGAAAAAATTTGTAGTCGATAAAATAAGAAGAAAATATTTTAGTTTAATATTATTTTTAAATAGAGAAGATAGAGAAAAATTTGCAAAAAGAGCAAAAAATTTGTATTTTTAATTTCTAAATCAAAATATAAAACTCATAAAAAACAGTGGCGTGCCCATACTTTTTTGTTCAATTAAACACCCTTTATCTCAAAAACAACGCTTTAAAGCATAGAAGTTCATAAAAACTTTTCTACTTATTTTTAATGAGCAAACTATAAATGCATTTAAAAAGAAAAGCTTTTCATTTTAATAGTTTCACCTATTAAATTGTAATAAACTGCATAAATGAAAGAGCAAAAAGTTTAAACTCTCAGTTAAGCCATAAAAAATTAAATAAAGAAAATATAAAGTTGAGCAATTTCAGGCGCGCGAAACTCACGAATTACAAAACTGTTTTTATATATAAAAAAATTTATCTTGTCCCGTCCACACCTGACAATTATTAAAATTATCTCTACTTTAGCCTAATAAAAGAAGAATATTTTTGACAATTTTTATGCCAAAATATTATATAATAAATTACCTACAATTTTTTTTATAAAAACAATTTTGTGATTTGTCCCTTTCGCATGCCTGAAATGGCCAGATGGTTAAAAAAAAATCATATTTTGACCACATATTATTTGGTACATGTATTCATTATTATTAATTAAAATTAATTTAAAAATTAGATTATGGTAACAGATTCAGACTCTTGAAGTTATTAGGTAAATAACTAACAAACCCAAAATAAATAAGTGGTAATTCCTGTATAATTGTTAATTAATGAAATTGATTGGGTGAGATGAGTTAAAAATACAAACCCCTTTATTAAAAAAATAATGATCAGCATCGATTTTTTACTCAATTTTTTTTTAAGTTTGATCGATGTCACTTGGCGGGGTTTTATATTTTCAAATGATTTATGTTGTGTATAATATAAGTGACAAAACATATTGTTAAATTAGGTATCGGGTAATACTTACATCGAAAAAAATACAAAAGAATATTTCAGTACTTGTAACACTTGTCCTTCAGTATAAAAAAATCCAGAACTATTCTCGATGCACTCAGTATACTTCACATATTCTTACATAATATACACGTGAATTTTTTACAATTAACATGATATTTTAAACAAACATTTGATGTAGTTTATAACAAATTATATTATGTAATATATAAACGACCATTGTTTTATATATGCATCGATATATAGGTACACACATAGTAGATTCTGTATAAATATTTTTTAAATTCACCTATTTGCCTGGCTTTTCTTGATACTACCTCTGAATAGCTGAATTCAATAGGAAAGGAACATAAAACATTTTACTCTCCAGAAGTAAAGATGCTGCAGACTGTATCTAAAAAATAAAAAGGAAAATGCATAAGAATATTTAATTTATTTACTTCGATTTTACTAAATGTAACACTTAAATTTTTGTTTAAAACTTAAAATTGTAGAAGATATTTTGAAATTTAATTATGATAGGTTTTCATTTGTTTTATCATTATATTATATCAACAGAAAGGTTTACCTTGTTAAAAGGGTTTTTATCAAGGGATTCATGGTTGCATTTTATACTCACTTTTGATATTTTAATAAAGTCAAAATTGGGGAAAATTTTTAGTTTCTCAATCTTTTTTAAATTTTCCTTAATTATAGTTACTAGTTATTAGTAGTTATTAACTATTAATCCTATAAAGGATTTTGCTTTATTACCCCTGGTTATCAAATTACAGGGGTGCAAAGATTACAGTTTAAAAACTTAAAAAATACATTTCTTAATATATTAGTATACTTATTCAGTAGTCGCGCTATTTTTTTTTCAAGTATAGTCGCCCGGTCTGTAACACCCGGGTTGATTTTTTATAGGTTTTGCGATTTTTTTTATAAATATTTACTATCAGTGAAGTTTTATGGGTAAAAAGGTACATATAGGTACAAAAAAGTGATAGGAAAAAATATATATTTTAGAAAATACAGGCAAAAAACAAGAAAAAATAAAATTCATATAAAAAAGGTCTTTAAACTTTTAACATAGGTACAGGTTAAATATTTAAAAAATTATATCTCTATTTTCATTTTTGTCAGTGCAGAAAATTATGTTTTTAAATAAAAAAAAATCGGAAAATTTAGAAATTTTAAATTATTTTTGTCAAAAAATACATTTTTTTAAATAAAGCCCAAAAGAAAGCTTCATTATTTTGTTTTAAAACCATATCAATTTAATAATAAGATGAAAATTGTTCTAGAGATTTTCGCTAAAGCGCAGGAGTGTGTTATATGTCATCTGTCATTTTGACACCTGTCAAAGTATTGCTTAATAACAGATAACCATTCGAAAAATAATTTCCATCCTAGAATTTTTTAAAAAAATTAAAAAAATTATTAAACATTTGTCAGTGCAGAAAATTATGTTTTTTAAATAAAAAAATTCGGAAAATTTAGAAATTTTAAATTATTTTTGTCAAAAAATACATTTTTTTAAATAAAGCCCAAAAGAAAGCTTCATTATTTTGTTTTAAAACCATATCAATTTAATAATGAGATGAAAATTGTTCTAGAGATTTTCGCTAAAGCGCAGGAGTGTGTTATATGTCATCTGTCATTTTGACACCTGTCAAAGTATTGCTTAATAACAGATAACCATTCGAAAAATAATTTCCTAGAATTTTTTAAAAAAATTAAAAAAATTATTAAACATAATTGCTACATACAATTCTAAAAATGTAATTAATTAACAAAGTTATAAGTAAACAAATATAATAGCGATACATCTCACCGCTGCTTACGCACGCTGGCTTACTATAAATACCAATAGGCTACAAATATTTCCAGACACGATTTATCATAATTGGGAGGTCATCCACCGATGTTACCCATTGATTAAGGTTCGACCTCCCTTTCCGACGCCGCGACGCATAAATTCGATGTTATCCCGAGAAAACTTAACACTGATCGGTCAAACTTCTTTTCATGCGACGTTTGGCCATAAGTCGGCCAACGTACCAGGGTTTGCTAATTAGTCTCTGGTTAAAAACCCATATTAAGTACGACTACTTTAATCAGCTATACCTGGAACATATCGCCAAGGTATACCTGGTATACCTGCAACATATGGCCAAGGATATGTCACATGTTGCAACACACACTTATAGTCAAGTTCAATGGTTGAAGCCAGTAAAATGTGACCAATAGGGTAAGCTGATGAGATTGCGTGAGAAGGCGTTATGCAAATATGTAATTCAATGCGAGATAACGTCGTTATCATAACGATGCCATGGCATGGTGCACCAATAAATTTTGAAAATGCTCTTATCGCGTCGACTACTCCTATAGGAGGTTATATCTGTCAATAATAACCAATTTTTTTAGTGTGCAGTCAATAAATAGAATATAGGATGTTAATAAAAATGGCGACCAAATTATAAAGAACATTTTAGTAAATTGTTGTTTATTACTTTCCACAATGTTTCCAAAATATAATTAAGGTAAATGTTCCTATTATGGGTACCACACCAATTACACGAATAAAAATAAAACATTAAACCATTTATACATATATGAAATTAACTTAAAAAACATATTTAATAGTACCTATATTATGTATCAAGTTTTATAAACGCCATTTTAGTTACGAGTTTTATTAGGCACGAGCGAAGCTTGCGAGCGAGTGCTTAATAAAAACGAGTGTCTAGAGAAGTTTATAAAACGAGTTGCATACTATACTTTATCTACGACGAACATAAATAAGAATTTAAATCCAATTTTATTTGTTGACATAGGGCAACTGTCAACGGATTTAACTTTACTTCTTCCCAATTAATAATAAAACTTTAGCCCGTCACTAAAATGCCCAAAAGCCACTGTTGCTAACTTCAGCCCGTGACTAAAACGCCAAAAGGACGTAGCTTATCAATGGTGGAGTAGATAAATTATTTTTATCCATGTATTGCAATAACCGATTAAGTCCTAAACGAACAATTGCCTTAAGGTGCCGATAATAGGAGAATTTGCCTTAGGTATTTCTTAAGATGTCATATGACTAATAAGTAATAATAATTTAAATTATTAAAAAAATCTTACGAATGGGTTAACCCATTATTAACATCATTAATTAATGATCCTAAACAATGGAAAATGAAAAGTGAAGGTTACTTTCCTGGTTTATAGCTTTGTTAAGTACTATAACAACCATTTTAAATTTCAATGTTTCAAGAAATTATTTTAAAAATTCTTTTTTAGTTCACAACAAATCTTCTCAAATTAAAATTTCAGTGAATCACGTCGTCACAATACATAGGCAATTTAAACGTTAAAAAGCAAAAGTTCCAGACAATACTTACATTATTTATAACTTTATGCCGTTACAGTAATTACAATTTCTTCTTACTAACCTACTTTTTCCTAACCTAGTGACTAGGTGCTTTTAGTTTCGTATACAGTTTTAAAATTAAAAGTATTGCGTATTTAAAAGTTTCGCTTTGTAACCATTCGTTAAAATCTCTTCCATATACATGTTGAAAAAATACAGTATTAATGTTTATATATACAGGGTAAATTTGGTTACTTAAGTTATTGCTCCTGATCTATTATTGCATTTTTAGATCCGTTATTGCATTCTGAATATTTTCGTATAAACTTCCCCATACCTAACTCTAGTGGTTTTCGAAATATAAATTAATTTCTTTATTTTTACTTGAAAACATAGCTCCAATTAATTTATTTTTACTACGCCACTGAAATTCGTAGAAATTTGAAATTTTGGGCGTAGTTTAGGAAGGTCCTGTGTATTAGTTCTGAGTAAGAAAATTTGATCTACATTATACAGGGTTGGTAAAAATGAGTTACTTTACCGCTATAGCTATAGCTATAGCTATAGCTATAGAAACAAAATTGGTGAAAAGTGCTTTTTTTAAATGGAACACCCTATATTTTATCAAAATCAAAGTTACTTTGATGCAGAGGTATAAAATTCCAAATATAAAATTATTTTTCCCATGTTAATTAAATGGGAAACTAAAATAAAAACAGCGATTTTTTTATATTAAATAGAAACATTTGAGAGGTAAAAAAAATTAAATTTTATTTTTTTCTGCACATATATATACCGAAAAGTCGTGAGACATACGGTTCTTTTAAGAACCAAAAACCGACAACACGGAGCAGATGAATTATAAAAACAACTAAAATGAAAATGAAATGTCCTATTAGCATTAATGTGATAATAAGTGAAAATAGTGAAGGTACACGGTGGCCCAAAAGTCATGACCCGATTTCCTAAGGCTATAATTTAAAAAATTATCCCTGTTTGTAAATATTGTTGGACCTTTACATTTTTTTCTATTAAGGAGGGCAGTACGCTGCGGGGAAAGGGGTAAGGGAAGTTGTTTCTTACCCAATGCATAAATAGCGATAGGTACTATTAGTAGTTAAACTCGTAAAAACAAAATTCACTTTTTCATTTAATTACATTTAATTTAAAAAAACAGCACATTTTCTAACTGATTTTATAATTATTTTTTATTTTAATACTATCAACTATAGTTGGTTTCTATGGTAACGCTTTTCGCTTTTGACAGTTGCAGTAATATTTAAAATCTTAAAATGAGTTGTGAAAACGAATTATTATGTTCTGTAAAATATGTAAAGTCCGCTACAAAGAAAAAATATTAAAAAAGGTATGGGAACCAAAAATAGAGCAACATAAAACATGCAGTATGTTGAATGCAGCTAAAGTCTCGAGAAGAGCAGAAAACAAAGATAAAAAACCATAAAAATAAGTAACTTATAATAAATAACAAAACAATTGTGTTTTTTTCTAATAATTTACTTTAAAAACGAAATTATGGTAGTCGACCGATTAATAATTTTGGTTGGACAGTCAACATTTATCGTTTATTATTGCAAAACTGTGCGGTACACTGTTATAAAAATATGATTTTTTAACATGAGTTTGTAGTTAGTAAATTTTATTTTGTAAAATTTTTACAAAATTTTTTGTATACAACCTGGGTTTGTAATTATTTTAACAAATTAAAATATTTTACCGAAAGTTTTATGAAGGTAAAATGCAATTTTGTAAGCATTTTGTTAATTTCAAAGGTTACAGATTATTTTGTTAATGTTTAACAAATTATTCCGTTGAAAAAGTACACGTGATTTCAGGCAGCCAATCAAAACATTTCCAAGCACACCACACTTATCAACACGTTGTGTCAGCGTCAACGCGTGTTTATAATATTTAACGGTGACAGGAGTGTTTATAATGTCATTATTGGATTCGAATTAAAATTAGGCGATATAGTGAAGTTAAAATAAATCAGTAAGTGTTTTAGTAGTACTGATTGTTATATTGTA